ATTAGGCATGATGGCTACTGCAGCTTAAGCAAAGAATGTGCATCAAATAGGATTTAGAGGCAAGCAAACTGTGGTAACATTGACACACATGTGCCTCCTCCACACACATACACACAAACACACAAGCAAATAAACAAACAAAGTACAACTTAAAAGCACTCAACTGGTCTACGTTTACCGGCTCCATAACCAGCATTCCACAAAGAAAGCTTCACAAAGTACAAAGTACAATCCGGAGCCACCTCCGATGAAACTAAAAAAAATGGATTCACGAAAGTGAGTCTGTGACCGTATCACAAGATGGTTTCAATCTCAGCTAATCAGTAACAAATTCAGAAACTAGGAAGAATATATGTCAATAAGTATATATGTTCAAATAGATGCAGGCTGGATAGAATGCATTTACAAATCCTATGTTGACAAATCTATCAGACATCAGTTACAATGACAGAGATGAGCACAATAGGAACACCAATTATGTTGCAGAAATACTTACTAGATCTGATGCCAGCCCTTCAAATGCCTCTAGATACAAAAAGGTGAGCAAATCATTGCTGAGATTCAAAAATGTCAAGATGAAAAGGTTGTTTTTTGAACTAAATTATATTTCAATGCAGGAAGGCTACACTGAACTTATGCTGGAACAAACCATGGCCATCGAGTGCAGCACCGACACCACCTTGTACTAGGCATCTGACATGGCCGTCTTCCTAAGATTGAACAAAGGCTGAAGTTACATAGCTGATTTGGAGCAACAGAAACATCAGCAAGATCATGAAAATCATAGCTAAACATACATACCTCAGCATTATCCTTTTGGTTACTCTATGTGACTGCACTTTGTGCCCCAAGACGCTACCTGCATGTATTGCAGACTAGGTGAAATAGAATTTAGAAATCTATAATGGCACTAGCTAGGAGCAAGTGGACAATACAAATGGCAGACAGAAGTTAAGTTTGGGGTTTCGGTCCTTAAGAAAAGATATATACTGAAAATGCAACACTAAAAATGTACAGCGGTGATAATATACTGAAAATGTACAGCAGCACTAAGCATATATCCTGAAAAATGGCAAGCTCCAAGTTCATAGAGACAGGACTACTATTCAAACAATATAGCAATATCTAGCATAAGCATATATCTGAAACTTAATCATCAAACACAAATGGGTAAATCAACGCATCACTAGCACTGACATTCAGAGACAACCACACACTGAACAGAGGAAAAATCGGATGTGTGTTGACACAAATCAGAATTAACAAAGTTCATGAAGTGTTAGCACAAAATCACAAGAGACAATTTTTTCCATGAAACGACAAAGACAAAAATGAGGTGTGTTGACACAAATCACAATTAACAAACTTGAAAGATGTGTTACCACAAAAAATCAAAAGAGACAATTTTTTTTCTATGGAAGGACAAGGACAAAATTTCGGTGTGGGCTGACACAAATCACAAGAAACAAAGGACAAGGTGTGTTAGCACAAATCACAAAGGATAATTTTTTCTATGAAATGACAAGAACAAAAACTTGGTGTGGGCAGGCACAAATCACAATTAACAGAAGAAAAGGTGTGCTAACACAAATCACAAGAGACATCGTGAGTTTTATCATATACCTTGGCAGCACCAGTGCTGCTCAGAATGATGTTAAAGCTGGCAGCCCTGCCACCTCTCCAGTCCTTGGCTGAGGGTCCATCAACAGTCTTCTCGGTGGCTTAAAGACAAGCATCATGCTGTCATTTTACAACCAAATGGATATATTTAGGATCTAGGAGAACATGATACCCAAACAAGTGAAACAGCATACACATTCTGAAACAAATAAAGGACCATGAAGAAAAATTATACCTTCAGATGCGCAACAGCCTTGTCCTTGTCAATGAAGACACAAGTGGATTCCCTGACATAGTTGGCACCAGCCTCACCCCACAGGATCTAATCAGGGTTCCTATAGAATTGAAGCAATTCAAGCGTCAGCTCACAAGCTCAAAGCTAAAGCCTGAACAAATAAACTCAATCCATGTACAAAATAAGCAGGAGAGGGGACAGGAGAGTACGTGGTGCCAAAGACGGTAACCGGCTTGTCACCAAAGAGAAGGGTCTTGGAGTCCTTTGAGGGTGATGTCACTGTGCTTCTAGCAAAATGGTGCTTGAACCTGAACACATGGTAGATGAAACAATAACATGTACCTGCCAGCCAATACCATAACTAAGAACAGAGGGTGGGATTGGTGTAGCACTAGCATACCTAGAGACAACAATGAAGGCCCCAGTGCACTACAGACACAAAGAATAGCCGGTTAGTGAGATCATTATTATATCACCACACAAACCCACATTTAGCAATAATGTGCTGGAATATTTGTTTTTTTTCTAAGCGCAGCGAGCTAAACCTCCACGAGAGCAACAAATGATGCTGCCATCATTGCAAAAGCTTCACCCGCATCAAAAGTTGGAGCACCCCACTGAAAGGGACATTGAACGCAAAATGTGGGGGCATATAACAGATTCAACCTCAGAGGCAAGCTTCCTGAACATATGTTTTTCCTGCTTAATCAAATGTAAAAAGAAAAATAAAATAGTGATAAAGTTATTTATAAAGACTAGATATTGCACATGTTACACACAGTAATTGCAATATTTGAACTGTGTAATTTACTACTAATAAATGTGCAATCAAGAAAATGGTACTTGTACATAAAAGAATAGAATGAAATCACAGTTCAGTAGAATTCTAATGCAGTTTGCAGTATAAATTCATCATCCACCATGGCTACATAACAAAACAAATTCATTGCAACTTCACTGCAATATTTACATGCAGGTCAAACAATTATTTTGCTCAAAAAACTTATGCCGGACTGCTTGTACATGGTATACAAGTCACATACCCGACCAAGTAAATCCTCAGATACACAGCTGAATCCAGACCTGCATGGCTAATCAACTCATCTTCAGGCATTTTGAGAGCAGCAGGCATCCAACTTAAGAATTTCAAGTATGAACACATGTCCAAATTGACAAATTTTTGGACAAATGTACCCCCATGACTTGAACTCTCTCTTGAGCCTTTCAGGTACCATTTTGGGAAGTAAACCCTATCATTGATTGGCTGCAGCCCATAGACAGATATAAACTAAAGATAGTGAATCAGATATTGAGGTTGGCAAAATAGGCCTGCTACTGCTAGTTCATGCCATTAGAACATCACTGACCTCAGCAGCAAGGCAAGAGTCTAAAATATACCATATATAAACTAGGCTACAGAAATAAACACGCCCACTACTTCAGGATAGTCATCACAAGTAAGCCAATGGGACAATGAACACTGTCATGTCAAGATTGCACAACTAGCACAGGTGGAACACAATTTAATAGAACATCAGACAATTCTCCGAGTAAGAGATCCTATGCTGGAAAGGAGCACGGCAGTGCAACCATTATTTAGAATAAAGTGTGTGTCATTATCAGATAAGAAAAAACCAGAGCACTACAAGACACGTGTTCAAACTCGGTTTAGCAAGATCTGACGAAATGAGAAAAACAGAGCATTCAGTTAAGAAAACAAGATCTGACGAAATGAGAAGAAGAAAAAACAAAGCATGAACAGAGATCGAAATAATGGTTGGTGACATTGAGAAATTTGGATAAATACTTTGAAGCCAGAAATAATCTCAGAAGCTGGGTGAGGGGTCCATGCTAGTAGAGTTGACATTTCATTCTCTAAACTACAAATTCCAATCCAGTCAGTAATCGAGAACACATGTTCGTATGCCATAATCTTCATTTCTTCAACTAATCTGTATTTAGAACAGCATAAGTAAGAAACAAACAAACTACACCAAGGTTTGGCTCAACGACTATAGAGCAGGTTAGAGATGCAATATTAACCACAGAGCATGCAGGTCCTTGCTCCTCGAAAATTAGCAGCCAAAAACTGGAATAGATCAACAGAAGTTACTGGAGTTGGTAGTTATCAGCTGAAGCGTTGGGGAAATAGCTCGGCGTTTCCCCATGCCTCCCAGGTCCCAAATCTGCCGAAGGACCACCCCACCCAACAACACGAGATTCAGATGATGGAATGGAACCTGCAAAACAGATCGAGTCTCCACATAACCCCAAACCAAGCAGCGGCGATGCAGATGGTGGACACAACACAAGCATTCAAATCAGGCAAGCACTATTAGCAGTGACCATTCTAGTTCATAATGTATTTCAGTAATTAGTAGTAAAAGAATTCACATAGGAATTAGGATTCATGTATTTTATCTCTACCTACAATCAAATTTCAAACCTGGCCAGAAAGACTGTCTGCTATTAAAATTCTGCTCATGCACCAAACAGGTTGACAAAATTAAGGTGACTCTACTTGGGTCAAGTAGCACCAATTCATTCAATATTAAATTACAGAAATGATAAATTGTCGCAACTATCTGCTACGAACTCCAAACATACATAACCACATTTCCTAACATGATGCAGAACCTATTCTAAACAACCAGCAGCATGCCTATGGTGCCTATTTTAGCCCATCTTTCAATACAAACCCCAATTCAGAATATACACAGTTTATCCCTGAACTCCGATTAACAATTCCCTAGGCCCTGATAAGCAATTGAAGACCCCGATTCTGTACTGATACGGCTATGAACATATTTAAAGAAAACAGAACTATTAGCAGATTAACAGAGCAGGCCGCGCACCTAAAACCAAACAAACTCGATGGAACTGGGCACCGGACATGTCGCCAAGTTGATGTACTAGTAGGAGTACACTACAACAACCAACAAGCAAAGAAAATTCCGCCCCACACCAGCCTCCACCAGAAATCAATCCCGTATAGTAAGATTTTCAATCGCGGCTTCCGGTCCACAGTAACACACAAACACCATCGTAGATTCATAGTCCATAGGGCAAGGCACCGACACAACAAACAAGCAATTCATCCAGACAAGGCATGAAAGCACGCTTCAAATGGAGAGGATCTGACTCACTATAGGGTGTTAGGCGGTCCGATGATGGTGACCTGCCACTCGAAGACGTTGCTGTCGTCGACCAGCCCAGCCGAAAACCCATCCACCAGGTGCTTCGCGAGATCTACACCAATCACCATACGGCAAACCAACCCCAAGTCAATCAGACAAACAATCCGCAAGGAGGAAAAAAAATCGAGCGGAAACCGATGAACAGGAACTCCGGCGGGCCGCACCTCTGAGCTGCTTCTGCATGAGGAGGCTCGCCTGGTTGGTGGTGGCCGCCATGACAGGGATCGGTGGATGGGCTAGGGGTTTGCGTCGCGCGGAATGATTCGCGCTCTCGGGACGCGGTGACGCGAATCGATGGGCACCGCGGGCGCCTTATTTATAGACGTGAGGTCGCCTGTTGAATTGCCGCGACGCCGATGGGAGCAAATCGCCGGGGGAGCGCGAGTTCGCCGGAGCAAATCGCCGCAGCACCGGGCGCATCGCGCGACAGAGCGTCGGGGTCGGGGGAAGGAAGACGAAGGGGAAATGAAACGGAAGAGGCGCGATTCCCGATTTTCCAGTACCGAAAAAGTGGACCCTCCTAATCAGAAGAGACAGAAGCGGCGGTGAAAAGGAGACACACACGATGCTAATCTAACGCACAGAAAATTCATGTGTCCTTTAGCATTCCTGTTTTGTTTAGTTCTCCTGACTCCTGCTCGGCAGTTACCCGCGTGTAAGACCTGCTAGCCGTATGCCTGTATCTGTATGAAGCGAACAGGCAGTCGAAGCAAAATTCTGCCCTCAGTTGTACTCACAGTGGAGCCTGAAACGGCCATCTAGACAAGAGACCTCACCGCGTTGTGGGAAAAGAGCGCCGCTGCTGCCTCCCCTCCGCCCAGTGAAGCGACAGCTCGCGTAACTCACTGGAAGGATTTTGACTGCAAGAAGGAAAGAAGATTCAACGGTCGAGTGGCTTCAGCCAGCAGAGCAGGTTGAATGACCGGACTGGGTCCGAAGTGGAATGGCCACATCTTCTGGATCAGTCACTGGGACCGGATCACCAGCACGTGAAAGTTGCCTCCACTATTTGCTCGTGTCTTGGTCTATGGGACCATCACAAATTCACAAAGTTACAGTCGCAAAATTCGCAAATGAACGGATGCCCTTTCTTGCAAGGACTCTCTGAGGCATGTGTTGCTTTCCTGTTCTCTCTCTCTCTCTCTTTAAGATCTGTTTATGGCTAAAAACTGCATGGACGAACCTCGAGGTGTCGATGCTCAAAAGACAAGAACAGAGACCGAAAAGTTTGACACGAAAATTTTGAACCGTTGAAGTTAATTAGCCAGGAATCAATTTGAATTTTGTTACAGAGTCATAACTGGGTACAATCAGTTGGGGATCGTCAAAGCTTATTGTTAAGTTGCTAGTAGCTCCAGAGCGCGACGTCCGCTCCGCCGTCGCCGAAGTCGCCATGTTCCCAGGCAGCTGCCGGCGGCGGCGGCTCCATGAGCAGCCCCTCCGCGAGGCTGGCGTAGTACGTGTCCAAGTCCATGTCGCCGAGCCAGTCGGGCTCGAACGCTTCGACGTCCAGTGCCGCCGGCTCGTCAGCCTTCACAGGTACTTGCTCAAGCGACGTCGCCGCCGAGCCGGAAACAATGTCCGGCAATGGCGGCGGAGCCGACACGCGCGATGTCACCTCGTCGACGGCGGCGGCGGCCTCGAATCGGCGCTGGAAGTCCGCGATGGCCTCGAGGGCGGCGCGGCGGGCGTCGTCCAGGCTCGAGAGCGCGGACGGCGGCGGCACGGCCAGCAGCCGCGCGGAGTCCGGGAAGTTGAGGCAGCCCGCCCCCGATCGGCCGCGGCCCAGGGCGAGCATCGCGGCGTCGTGCGCGCGCGCCGCGGACTCGGCGGCGACGTAGGTGCCGAGCCACAGCCGCGAGCCGCGGTTCCCCGGGACGCGCACCTCGCAGACCCACCGGCCCGCGGCGCCCCGGCGGCGCACGCCGCGGAACACCGGGTGCCGCGTCTCGCGGAACTTGGTGCGCCCCGCGGGGCGCTTCTTGGCGGGCTGCGGGGAGGACGAGGACGACGGCGACCAGACCGCCTTCTTGTTGTGGTCCGACGAGGAGGAGGATGGCGAGAGCTCGAGGCGGCCCATGTCCATGGCTACCTGCTGCTGCTGCTGCTAAAGTGCTGATCCCTGCTTGAGGTCGGTGTTGAGAGTGGAGTGAAGCTGCTCGGTTGTCTTGAGGTCGGTGTTGAGAGTGGAGCGTGTGGTTTTTTGGGAGGTGGTATTTATAGGTATGCCTGCGATGCGATGCGGGTGTTCACACGCGGAGAAGACGAACGGGGGCGGCTGTCCGCGGCAAAGGAACAGCTGGCTCCAATAGATACTGCCATCCTGGGGACTGATGGGGGATGGGGGAAAGCCGCTCGCTGCTTGACAGAGGTGTTGCAGGGGAGGGCATCTAGGCATGGCCCGCCTGCACCTAGGTGCACATCCGAAGCAGAGGCGGACGTGGACATGTACTGTTGGGTGATGGGGACTGGAGAGTGATTCTCCTCCTCGCCTTGAGACGCAGGGATTTACCAATACGTTTTTTTTTCCTCTAGAACAGATTTTTATATAGTTAAAAAATAATCAAATAATTTGTAGCGGCCAATACATCTTGTGGTAACAAGAATGTATTGTTCTTATGGATATTAAGATTGAGTTTCCGATTCATATTTTGTCGACCAACTCTTCTAATTCACATTTTTTTTGAAAAAAAAAATTCTTTTGTAATTCCTCGCAAAAGGACTCTGAAAATACCATGTCCCCACCTACACAAGCAAATTGTTGATAAAACTCCAAATAACACATAAAGTATTTTTTCGAAGCAAATCATATAATATGAGTTTTCAAGTAATGAAAAAGTTTGTGTGAGAGAAAAGGCATACGATCATAATTTCGAGGAAAAAAAAGATGCGGCGTTGAGTAAACGAAAATGGAGGATAGGACTTAGCAACCGGGAAGAAGTATAAATGTGCCACTATGCACCATCCTATCATATATAACTCGCAATCGATGACTTAATTCTCGTCTTACCGTTCCTTTCTCTGTGTTTGGCTTATTTTTGCTCTCCGAAAGCAGATTTGATCTCAACTGCTGCCAACCTTCGGATTTGAAATGGAAGAATCATCCAAGACTCTTTCCAGCTGCGAACTTTGCGTCACAATGACTTCAAGAGGATGCAGATATTTTATGCGCACACGAGTTTGAACTGTGAAGTCTTGTGAGATAAAGTAACCGAACCAGTTCCAAACATACTGGATGCAGCGAGCGCCTAAGCTAGCGCACATGCTGAATTTCTGCAAACCGGAGGAGGTAGATTTCCGCACGCCTTCCACCCCTTTCCCTTCCCTGCTGCCCCGCACGACGCGAACGCGACGTCGGTGACGGTGATTTTCAATTGGTTCCTCGATGTGGGGTTTGATGCGGGGACTGGCCCAGGAAGGTAACAGTCGTGTCGTGTTGACGTTTCGATGGCGACATGTTTTTGTTTGTTTTAAAAGGAAAAATACTATTTGTGGTCCGTTGTAAATTATTAGTGGCTCTGGATTCGTCCGTGCATTCTGGAGATCCCCTGCTCGGAAGCGTGTGGACGGGATATTTTGGCTTCAAGTGCTCGTGAGCGTGGGGTAAGATTGAAATTCGAAACATGCTTTGTTATAGGTTCGCAAAGGAAGAAATAGAGACGTTTTTAAGAGCGAGTCGGGTTGTGTTTGGCTTTTATGCGAGCTGTTGTGTTTTGAACTTTTGATCCGACGCCATAAGTAAGCAAATCTCGAATGAACCGGCGATGGCGAGTATGGCGGCATCGTGCGCGCTCGCGCCGCGGCCTCGGCGGTGTCGAATGTGCCGAGCCAGAGCATGGCAGCGTCACGGGCCAAAAAGAAAGTCGCGGGCTTAGTAAAAGCGAAAAGGCGCCCGTGGTTTCTTAATCAGTTAATCTGCGGGTGCAGAACTGCATATCCCAGCTGCTGCAAGGTGCAAAGGGTGTGCTACCATCGCACTGCCTCGTATTTCTTTTCTGAAAAACAGCAGGAGCACTGCTAATTCATTTAATAAGAAGAGAAATCCAGGTTACAATGAGTGATTGATATTTTCTCAGATCTTTTTTGAGTGGTGATCAGAGGTTGCTGATAGAGACCAGACCACTGTAGAAGAAACGTGCGGTACTGAAACTGAACACTGTCCGGAACGCGTCAGAAAAGAATATCAACAGACGCATAAGCTGTGATTAGGGATGTTACAGCTGCGCCGATCGACTCTCTGATTGTCATGCTGTGAATTTGGGCAAACCTTCAAGTCACAGTCACTCTCATACTGGACATCGATGGCGCATACAAATGAATGAACATGCGACTTCAGGAAACCTTTCTATCGGAGAGCAGAACACAGCGGACATTCATTTTTGCTTGCTGAAATTTCTTTTTTTTTTCAGAACAAAAAACCCCGCATATGCAGGTATCACTGTCAACTGTTGACGTGGCAATTTGCATATCAAACTGTATGTAGGTACTAGAGGTAGCATCAGTTCTGAGTGCTGACATGCGAACGTTCTGACTGACTGTCAACGAAACATGGGCGAGGCCGCCCCTGTTTCCCATTGTATAGTTGTATATGCAGGTGGATTTCTCAGGTGACCTTAGCCTGTGGCATACAAAAATGCACTATCTTGTGGATTTTTTTTTCTCGAATACACACAAGTGATGCGTATCATTGTATTAGGTAGAAAGAGTTTGACCAATACAAGCCGTTCCACGGCCGCGTTAGTGTTTTGCAAGTGCTACATTTTGAAACAAACAACATTTAAGGGTGATCATCCCACCTACAGGCGAGCCAACGTTTCAAGCCCCGTGCGCGCGGCGTCGATCCACCGATCGGCCTCGGCCTTGACTAGCTGCAGCACCTCGATCACCGATGAGGATGCCTCCCTGAAGCACCTGGCGTTTCGTCTCCTGCAGACAAACGATCGTCGGCCGGATGTCACCGACTAGAGTACGAACACAGTCTCGCCGGGCCTTCGCGTTGAGACCACGCACGTTCCATGACAAGATAGTTGTGTTATCCATTGGTGATTACGACTGTGCGTTTGAAGGCCGCACTAGGCCCTGGCAGCCAAGGGCTGCCTCGTTGTTCTGACAGCCCTTGTCCTGGCGGCCGGGAACAACTCGTCAAGCGCAGCGACATGGCTCGCGGAGAGGTTGGAATCGAAGGAGTCCAGTGATTGCTGCGACGCCGGTGGTGG